ATGGATGGATGGATGGATGGATGGATGGATGGATGGATGGATGGATGGATGGATGGATGGATGGATGATCTTCATCCACATCAAAGTGGAATTTCCTCCAAACGTTTGTGTTTTTTCTACAGACGGATTTACTGGGGCACTAAAATAGAGAATCAGAAAAAGCATGACGTAAGCCGTAAAAACCTAAGGAAAACACTTCAAGGAGAGCAACAACAGAGGTCCTTTTAAAAACCGCATCATGTCAGGTGAAATACTACGTGATAAAAACAGCAAAAGCTGCTATATTCTGTAAACACTCACTTCGCTGTCCATTAAAGGCCTTCATTCATTAAATCAACAAAGAAGCACAGGCTAAATGTCACCTCTGTGAGATTAGAAAGCACCTCATAGCGCAGCGGCCGGCAGAAATGGCCGTGTATTCCACCCATATATGCATGTACGCAATTATTCAAAGCGGAGGTGGAGGGGAGCCGTGTCATGCATTCTTAGCGTTTGAATGGGAGGTCAGCGGCTGGAAGCCGGGTACCAGGCTTTTATTCTGAGTTAGCACGGCCAGGTAGGGAGCAGGGGTGGCACAGTGCACTCCATCATCCCGCCCCGCTCCAAATGGAAACGCCATAAATCACATTAGCGTGGAGCAGGAGGGGGATAGGATGGCCCGTCTGAATGGAGGCTGAACTGAATGCAGGTTCATTACAACATCCGCAAGAGCAGAGAAATTAAAAAGGACACCATCATGTAGAATCAACGCTTCTGAGCTTTACATTATGTTATAATGTTATTCCCTCATCGAAAACATACCTAGAGCGTTGCTTCAAATCTTTCATATGTGCTTGGGAAATCCTTTAATCTCCATGGCAACCATTCAGTTTTCAAAACGCTTGGATGGATCTAGCCCCGCCTTCAAGGACGAAGCTCCTTCTCAGAGCTTCAGTTTCCAAGCTTCTGAGCTTATGCCTCCCCCATGACTCCCTCACTCAGCTCCTACAGACTAGCCAGCAGCAATTAGCAAACGCCAGGTGCATCATTATGCTTCAAGTTGGGTTTTGTGGGGGGGGGTGAAAAGATCGAAATACATAAAAACGTTCCGACCAGAACGTTTACGGTACGTCCGTAAATCTGACGCATTTCCTTCGCACACCGAGGGCTAGCCTTTGCTTCAAAAAACAATCTAATGGGACATTGGGAAAGATTATTGTGGTCAAGTTGTGCTAAAGGAACTAGCTATTCAAACCTAAAATAGCATCTCAATGCTAATGTTAAACATGTCGCAGCAGCAGCAGAGACGTCCCCAACGCTACTTCACATTCCTAAAAAAGTATTTCTTCAAAGACATTCAGTGAAGCATCAGGAGTTCCTGAATGGATATAACAGCAGTTTGCACCAATCTGATGGTTGAATAACCTAAATAACAAAATAAAAGCAAGATATTGTTGAGCTCACATGTTCATTTATTCAATAATTTAGCATCAAAAGGTTTTTTCAACTGGAAATGTTGCTTTTTTTTGGTCAATATGTGTTTAATGGCTGCCTGCTCAGTGATATCTTCTGCTCACAGCTGGTCCATTACCTGTGTAGAACAAAGTCCATGGCCTTCCGCCTGATCCCGGCGTAGTAGGAAGGACTTTCCTTCCAGGCCACAACGTTGTGAGCGTCGTGGAAGAGGTGAACGTTGACCAGATCGAAGTTACTGTTAGGGGGGAAAAAACTTTGTGAGAGACATTTCCTTCAAAACATCACTTTTACAGCAGATTATTAATTGTTATTGCTCAAACAGAGACCTAAGCATATTTACTAGCAAAGCCGTGTGACATTTTAAACCCTGATTGGCTTTCTTCCACCCTGCCCTGTTAGGGGGAGCAAGACGACTCAATGTGCTGATGAACACCTCCCTGCTGATTGTATCGGTCCGAGGAATTGATCGTACCTCAAGGTTTATTCTGCTGTGACATCCTGAACAAATGACAACATTCATGGCTTAGACAATACGTGTTTATCCCGTCCCAGATCTGATCTCCTATTCTTCACCGGTCGGCCTCTCCCTGCCGCTGCTGTCAAACGTCATGCCCCTATTAAATGCTTACCGTTTCAGCTCTTTAGTCCTCATGTCATCCCTCTATTAGATTACAATCCCCTCCGTCCCCCCGCCGCCTCTGCACACTGGGAGTTTCTATTCATGCCGTGCAGGTTCAATTGCATCTAATGTTTTCTGTCATCTGTCATACGCAGCTGCTTGACTAAGGGGATTACGTCTAATCAAATATGGTGGTGCGGGGCCCGCAGAGGGTACGGTACGTATGGAGCTCTCCCCGTCTAACCTGGGAGACGTCAGACGTGACTGACACGGCTGGATCTGTGGCCCTAATCGTGCTGATAGAGCTGCAACGGCTCGAGGCTGAGCGGTGATGAGGTGGGTGGGACGTGTTGCTGTTAGACGGCTGTTAATAAAACTCACCAGCTGGAAAGACTCCATCGAGTTCTGATGAATCCCTTTCTGGACCACTGGCACTGCAGAACAGAGAGACTCGGTTTAGAACCTGTTATTAGCCAAAGTTTGACAGAAAGATGAGTGGAAGCTATTAGATGATGAGGATATTTCATTTTCAGAAGTGGTTTGTTGAAATGCATTGCTTAAAACATCAACAAAACTTTAATGATAAAGGCTTTTTAAGGCTTTGATCTCTTTTCTTGTTTGAACTGGTCGGTTTCCCTCCACAGACCTGGATTTGAAGCATGTTACAATGATTTTCAAGTTAATCTCAGCTTACTTTCTACATTTAAAAATAAATTCTGACATGCATTTATGATCCATATCCTGTTGGAACACCCAACCACGTTTTTACCTTCTGATCTGAAGTAGAGTCAAAGAAGTTGGAGACAGAGAGAAACAACTATGACTGGCTTCTTCAAATATTTGAAACACCAAATATACTTTGGGATGCGTTGATATGCAGTAAAAACCATCTTAGCTCTAACGCACAAGCTAGCATCCATTCTTATCTTCAGTCTCAAAATTGAGTTTAACAGAGCATAATGAGGGCCTACAAAAAAAACAAAATTCTTCAATCTGTCAAAGTTTTTCCTTCCACTTAACTTTTCTTTAATGTTATTGGATGTAACTTTGCCAAACTTATTCTTGTTATGAAAGAAACTGAACTTTCACCATTTTTGACTTATAATAGTTTAAAAAATAGTTTTAATATAATTTTTAAGTTTTATGAAAAAGCTTTATGAATTCTGAGTTTCCATTGGTTGTACAATACATTCTTTAAAATGAACAGAAATAATCAATTCAAATATATCTGTGTGTTTAATGTTAACATATTACAAGTTTCCCTTTTTGGATTCTTCAATGTTATCCTAAATTATTGGATTTGCTAATTTGCATCATAATTTCTTTCCCTGTAAACTGCAATAAAAAAAACAATAAACTTGGCTTGGACCTCAATAAAAAAAAAGAATATAATTTCTGACCTATGTATAGAAAAGAAACCAGACCAGGCTGAGGTCAGAGGTCACACCTACAGCAGTGTGATCTGTTTGGATCAGACCTCACCGGGTTTGTCCAGCTGCTTCGTTCCCCAGCAGCACATGATCAAACAGCGCATGATTCACCATGAAGCTGGTTATAAAATGAGAGACAAATTGATGTTGTGAGTCTTCTCATTCGGAATAAGATAAATAACTCTATTTCCCACAACCTCTTTCTTTCTTTTCCAGTCGATCTCTCTCCCTCTCCGGGAGTTAACTGCAGTGATAAATAAACTAATTATGGGCCAGGTCGCATAATTACAAATTGACTAATTTTATTTAAAAAACCCAGATGCAAATTAAAGGGCTAAGAGGTATTTGATTGCGCCTTGCATCCTTCAATCTGCATTAGTACAAGATTAACTGTATCAAATTGAATTACATTAGCATACTTGAATTAATCCATACTGCCTCTGCAGGATGCATGGGCCCAATTATAACTCGCTCGTCCAATGTTGTGGTTTTGAAAAGAGCAAATGGAATTAGATATGAGTTTCACCCTGCTGGAAAAACAGATTGACCTTACACACTCAGGAAGTGAATAAAAAGGAGAAACACGCACAATAAAGGCTGAGTAACTACAGGCATAATGGACTTTATGTCCTCAGAACAATACGATTACTTTACAGCAGGAACAAATCCCTCAGCTTGTAAAGTTGTGGAACGAAGGGAAGCCGCTGGAGAGGATGAGGAGGTGGAAAGATGAAGGTTAGGGATGGCGGTGGGGGATTCGTACGAGATCTGACTGCCGCCAGAGACGATTAATCTCGATTTAATTTAAAGAGCCATTAACTACGATCACAGCATTAAAATCCATCACTTTCCTGACACCTGGCCCCAGATTACCCCATTTCCTGCACATATGACTGATTGACCCCCCGGTTCCTCACAAACACACACAAAGGCAAAGTCTTGCACTTTAAAACAGAAAGGCAGCACTCAGTCACTGCTGCAATGAAACCGGTTCAGTCTGGGACAAGAGTCCGGTTTGGGGTAGCGTCTTGCTGCATCAGCTCACAGGAAGACGTCATGATTTGGTTGCAATGCAGGTACACTGTACATTATGCATAAGCAACCAAAATGACAGAATTTAAATACTTTTATCAAGTAAAAAAGATAGGGCTGAAATGATTAATCAGATTAATCGTGATAAATCAATTGAATTTAGTTATGGATTAATCGTTAGCTGGAGTATACGTACTCAAAAAGGCCATTTTGCTGAAAGAATAACACACTCAGAGCAAAACCAAAAACTGTTGAAAAAGACATATACATTTTGCATTTACATTGAAATTAACATGTTTTTCTGTAAATATGTTCTACCCAGAACTCCTTAAGTGGCAAAGTTTAACTTCTAATTCTGGAAGAACCTTTTGCTATTCATTTACTAATCAGTAATTTAAAAAGTAATTAATAGATCAGCCCTACACTGTGTTGATGCCAGGTCAAGCAGAAACAGCTCAGCTTTTCACATGTTGATGTTAGAAGAATATTTTAAGCTCCATATGGATCATTTGTTACAAATAATCAAGCGTACACTCATTTAATGATACGTTGTCGCACCTGAGGGAACAAAATGTTTATTTTCTGATAGTAAAAAGGAATTTATTTATTTGCCTCTTTTAATGTATTTGACATTATATCAAAACGGCTTAAATGAAAAATCTGCATAATGTGCCATTTTTATTCGATTAATCATCATAATTGTCAGATTAATCGATTAATTAATCAGTCAGCATAATCTATTAATAGTCAGAATAATTAATAGATTAGGTTAGTTAGTTTGTTGCAGTCCTAAAAACAATAAACTGACGGAGTGACATGTTGGGTCCAAATAATAATGTCATCCCAGGATGTGGGTGGGGGTTTGATGGGTGGGTGCGAGAGGCAGCAGGAAGGCCACGAGGCTCAGGGTGACATTGGCTCAGCTTCCACAGGTCAGTGATGGCGTCTCCGCCTGCGACAGTGATGAACGGCGGCTGCAGAGCGGGTCGCGTCCGGAGGACGTTGGGCGATGCACAGACTGACCGCCAAGCATGGACCCACACAGAGGGGTAAGAGATGGAAGAGGAATGAAGCATTCAAGAAAATACTGTCATGATGAAAAGAAAGCGCTCATCCTTTCAGTTCTAAAACGATTTAAATCTGACCTAAACTGTACAGAAAAACATAACAGATTCAACCCAACTATATATTAGTTCCTCCAGTTTTCCAGTTCCAGGACTCACAAAAAATAAAAAATAAAATTAACAACTCTCTGGATTTGTTTCATGCCAATTTTTGAGTAAATTGTTTGCCAAAATGGTCAAGAACATTGGGTTTAAGTGACTACTAACTCCCACCTGAAGGTGGCAGTACTTCTTACAAAACTGCTGCCTAATCGTTCTTGATGTCTGTGATCGATATAGTAACAAAATGTCACATTTACTGTCATAAATAAGTGCAAAGGACATAGCAAAAAGTAGCAGCACAAAATTTGTGATTTTGATAGAAAAAAAAATCACAATAACAAAATCCTGGAAAGACTGTCTATAAAAGCAGGCTCAATTCAAACCTAGAGAGACATCAGCATTGACCATCAATCTGGGAAGGGCTCCCAGGCCATTTCCAAACCATCTGAAGTTCAGCACTGCGCTTTGATGAAGACAAGTGAAAAACTATTAATGCATCTGCTAATCTTCTTAAAGTTTCATTTCAGACTCAGAAATGGGAAGTTAGATTTTTTATCTTAAAATGCAAAATGTATATATTTTTGTACAGTTTTGGCTTAATCACTGCTTTGAAAATGTTGTTCTTTCAGCAACTGGCGTTTTTTAAGTTTGTGTACTACAGTTAATGATTAATCGTTTACTAAATTAATCGATTACTGATGATTATTTGACTAATAGATAGATCACAATTAATCCAACTAATCATTTCAGACCCAGTGGAAGCATTTCGATCATGGAGCGTACTTCTATTTTTCTGAGATTCAATATAGATCTGCTGTTTGTGTTTGGGTGCCAAAATGGGATTTTCATCATTTGTGGATTAGTATGACTAATTTAAAACAGCTCAAGGCATTCTCTTTACCCCACAACTTAAAAACTGCACAACTGTGACTACAGAAATTTTATTTATTTTTTTAAATGTCAGGATTTATTATAAGAGCCTCACAACACCCTCCTACGACTATTTCCTGGTCCATCTCTTTTGATTCTTTGACCTTTTGTATATCCCAGCTGAAAGCCTGACCCCCATAAATAACATTATGGCAAGATGATGTTTGGAAGGGGGTGGGGGGTGTTTTAGTGGTGCGGGACAGAAATGCACAGCCAGTAATAAGTAATACACACAAACACTGATTGATTTGAGCCTCGGTAGACGATCACATCTATCCTTATTCCATCATCTTGCAAGGGGACCCACTAAATAACAGAAGGGCCCCTCGCAGGGTTTACAGCCGCAAAGCGACTCCCTGCAGCAGAGTTTACTCGCCTTCTATTTGCGAAAATGAGCTCGGCAAGCCTTCATCTCGACATTAGCCCCTCATTTGAGAGCTCCTCGCCGTCTCATGGATCACGCCTGTCACAGAGGACGGCATCCGTGTCACAGGTGTCTTGTCTGGTGATAAACGCGGCGAGCGTTTTACAAGCGACGCCGCTTTAAATGACTTCATCTCCTTAACGTAAACATGAATCACGGCGGAGGGAGGGGAGGAAACAGGAAGGAAGTTAACTTCCGTGGAGGTCTGAACTTTAAAGTAATCAAAGTGCTGAAACAGAAGATTACTACAGGGGGCACTAAAAGGGTATGAAAAGTTGGTGCTTTTATGGACGCGCTGATGGTGCCAAACGACAAACTCATATAGATGTTGATCTACAGCCTGTCTGTTCATTTCTTCCTTTCTCTCACTTATTTTCCCCCCCTCCACGCCTGTGTAAAACAATCAATACCAAGGGCACATTAAGGTCTGGGTCGTATACTTTATTTATATT